AAAGAAAATCTTCGTGGAAATGGAGAGGGATAGATTTACGGAGCAATTTTTGTTTGTTTGTTTCCCTCTTTTATCCACCCTTCTCAGTTCCCGTTATTTATAGAATATGTGTTTCTCTTATATTCTATTTCATATTCAATTTTCGGTATCAACTCTGCATTTGAAACATCCTCTCCAATTTCAACAGTTTTATTAATTTGTTGCTATTTCTCTCCATTTCTTTTTCCACATTTATCAGAATTTCCAAAGGGTGGATCATCCAATCTAAATTTTGTTTACATGAAACTTTGTTTTTCATTTTAAACAACATTTCTTTTATTTTCTTTTATTTATTTGTGTCGTTCTTTATGATTTTTTAAATAACTTTGCACACTTTTTTATTGTATTTCGACGAACCTATTTCATTATTTCTCTCTCTCTCTTCTTTTCTCTATTTTTTTCTTTCTCTCTCTTTCTCTCCTTCTCCCTCTCCCCCTCTCTCTCTCTCTCTCTCTCTCTCTCTCTCTCTCTCTCTCTCTCTCTCTCTCTCTCTCTCTCTCTTCTCTCTCTCTCTCTCTCTCTCTCTCTCTCTCTCTCTCTCTCTCTCTCTCTCTCTCTCTCTCTCTCTCTCTCTCTCTCTCTCTCCTCTCTCTCTCTCTCTCTCTCTCTCTCCTCTCTCTCTCTCTTCTTCCCTCTCGCTTTCTCTTCTCTCTCTCTCTCTCTCTCTCTCTCTCTTCTCGCTCTCTCTCTCCATCTCCTCTCTCTCTCTCTCTCCCACCTGCACATCTCCCTCTTTCTTTTATATTCCACTATTTATTCAAATGTCCTTCATATTTGTTTTTCCCATGTATTGGCAATTCCTTATCATTTCTCTTTCATCCATATTTTATTTTCCCTTTTTTTCGTTTCTTTTTCTTCCTTCCCAGATACTCTTTATCCTCTATCTGTTTATTTTCTTTTTAATTTCTCATTTTCGCTTGTCTGTCTGTCCTTTCTCCACCGGCCCTTCCTTCTAATTTCCTTCTTCTCTCCACTTCTTTCTTCTCTACTTCGCTTATTCTTCTATCTTCTGAATCGTTTCGTGGCTTCTATCTCCCTCTTTCTTCCTTCCTGTTCACTTACCTCTCTCTCTCTTTCTTCCGTACCATCCCTCTTCTTTCTCCTTTTTCAATCATCTGCCTCTCTTCTTAATCCTTCTGTGCTTTCAATTTTTCCTTTTCTTCATCCTGTTCTCACTCCACTCTGCCTATTCATCTTTCCTTTCCCTTCTGTCGTTGTTTCTAATTCTCTCTCCTTTCTTCTATTACGCTTCTTTCCTTTCTCCCCCACTTCCCTCCTTTTTCCTTGACTTCTATCTCTCCTTATCATCTTCCATTCTTTCTCTTCTTCTTTTCCCCCTTTCTCATCGACATCTCTCCCCTCTCCTCCCCTTCCTTTCCCTCTTCTTTACTTCTCTCCCTTCTTCACTTCCCTCCTTTTTCCTCTACGTTCCTCACCTCACCTCCACTTTGGCTATTCTTCTTTCCTCTTCCCTCTCTTCTCCTTCGGATCTCTCCCTCTCCATTTCCCTCCTTTCTCCTTTGCTTCCTTCTCCTCTCCTCCACATATCTCTCTTTTTCTCTGCATCCCTTCTTCTCTTTCTTATCTCATTTCCCTCCCTTCTCCTCCACATCGACTAATTGTCTCCTCGACATCCTCCAACGCTTCTCCACTTCGAATATCCGTCTCTTCCACATCTCTCCCCTCACCTCCACCTTCCACCCTTCTCCTCCACATTCCTAGTCTCTCCTCCACATCCCTCCCGTTTCCTCCATATTTCTCCTCTCTCCACCAATTCCCACCCGGTTCCTCGACGTCCCTCCCTTCTCCACATTCCTCCTTTTTTTCCTCCACCTTCCCACCCTTCTCCTCCACTTCCCTCCTTTTTCCTCCACATTCCAAGTCTCTCCTCCACGTCCCTCCCTTCTCCACATGCCTCCTCTCTCCAATAATTCCCTCCCTTCTCCTCGACATTCCAGGTCTCTCCACCACTTCCCTCCTCTATCCTCCACCACTTCCCTCCTCTTCTTCCACCACTTCCCTCCTCTCTCCTCCACAGTCCTCCTCTCCTCCGCTTTCTCCTCTCTCCTCAATCTCACCTCCCTCCCTCCTCTACCGCGTCCCTCTCTTCCCCTCCGCTTCGCTCCCTTCTCTTCCACTTCGCCCACCTATCTCTCCTCTTCCGTTACCTTCCTCAGTACATCAATTACCGTGTATTTACCCACCTCTCCTTCCGTGTGTGGCTGGCATCTGGTGTTGACCAACTCCAGAACGTGGCAGTTGCCTGAAAGTGACACCAGGAGGCTTCGGCAATTGCAAGTGTGTGTTTCAGATGTTGCAGCAATGTCAGATTGGACCCTCTGCTTTACCGGGAGGTGTCGTTTGTGTGTGTGTGTGTGGGGGGGGGGTGCGTGTGTGTGTGTGTGCGTGTTGTTTGTGTGTGTGTTGTGTGTGTGGGGGGGGGGGGAGGTATCAATATTTGGAAACGCACACACAGTCGAACACTAACTCACTCCCTATCTCTCTCGCGCGCTCACACATACACATACCCAAAACTGTATACTGTTTGTCGAATTTATTTTCCTTCACTGTAATTTGGGAATTTTCATTTTATCTGCCCCTCGTTTTACACATCAATAATTTT